CTACGTATCTCAAATATACCAATGAGTAAGCTACTATGAGAAAACTAAAGACCCTGTGCTCCACATGTCTCATGACCAATTTCACTAATATAGCAGACAGTGGAGAACCCATTGGGACACTTTGTTTTTGTAGGTACATCTTCCCATTGAAGCTAAAGTAATTGTGTTCTGTGATAAAGAGTAAGACTTCACAAATCTCCAAAACCTGCTGCGCAGTGAAGTCCTCTTTGATGAGTAAGGCAGTGGCATGCATGACTGCCTCAAAGCCTGGGTAAAGTGTATACTTCCAACTAGGTAGAGTACAGAGTATTTGTGTACTGTACCTTCTCATGGTACAGTATACAAATATCTTTACTTATATTCTCTTATGTTATTTTGGTGGGGATCATGCATTTGGTTGAAGCATGGTGTATCAATGGGCAGTTCTCAGGAATACCATGTGAAATTATTGTAAGAACACTTGAAAACAGAGTCCTTCTACATATCACCCAGCTTATATACTAAGTATGTGGATGATATTTTAATTGTCTAGAAGAACAAACCAGATTTGCAAATGCTTATAAAAGAAATGAACATTAACTCTTTTTGTCTAATGCTTTTCCTAGAGTAAGAAAGCAATGTATTGGAACACTATCTGAATGTTCTATTCTTTTTCAGTGAAGCCATTGCACAAAGAAGATTTGTTGTAAATCCTTTATTATGTTATTTTGAACTTGTAATGTTAGTTTTTCACATTCCTGTGACATCATACAGCAGTAGAGTTACAAATTTTCTTGTACAAAGAAAAAGACATTGCACAGACCTACAAGTGATTCTTTGATTCTAGACATTTAAATCTTTGATATAACCATTCATGGTTACTCACAGTGCTAACTCCTATGCCCATATATATATATGTGATCTATATATATAATAATAATTAATTCTGCTATTAATTTACAATAAACTTTTTCCATTTCAATATTGACTGTATCAATATTCTTTACTTTTTAGTAACTTAATTATCAAAATAAAAAATATCTTTAATTTTTGAGAAACATTTGACTGTCTAAAGTTATTAATTTATTGTCTCACATATGTATAAAACATAAATTCAAAAGGAAAAACTAACATTCTTCAGTTTCTATACAAATATTTTCAGGAAGTTGGAAGTATTGTTTTCTTCTGGTTTCTATAAATAACTAAAAAAAAGTGTTGTTACATTGAATAAAAGAAACAAAAAATTTCAAATATAAAAAAAAAAATTTCAATTTTTGTTTTTTTTTTACTTACTATAAATTTAACAACAGATTGTTGACAAAAATTGAATGGCTATATAAATATTTCAGAACTTGTTTTTACATATTTTAAATTTATTTCATTTCAAAGTTAAACAGGTTGATAAAATATAATTTAAAATTCAACATATTTTTTAATCTATAATTTGTTAAATCTCAAGTTTTAAAATTATGTTACAATTTCATTCAAATTTTTACATCTTTAACACATACAATCCTCTGATTTTCTGAAGATCAATTTGTATGAAATCTAACATCTAACAGTTTCATTTCAAATACATATAGATACAATGATTGTTAACTACCTAAAAATTATGTTAAATAGTTTCATTAAATAAATACTTTAAAATAGTTCTTTAAATTAATTGTATTAGGCATTCTTAAATTTTTCAAAATTAATCACCTAGTAATAAGTCATCACCAGCTCTAACAATATCTTAAATTTTAATATTCATTACTTAAATGTTTAGAAATAAAAATCATTTCATCTTCCAAAGCATCTGCATACNATGAAGAATAAAGCAAGTACAGAATAAAGGAAAAACATTCGGCAACATCAGAAGCAGAAGCGTCACGATCTGGCAACATTGAAACAAGTTTCGAGAAGGACCACGTGTATCGACAGAAGGCGAGAAGAAAAAAATTTACATACTTAAGTACTAATAGTTCACGAAAATAATAATTTTTGTGAAAAATTTATTACATTTCCTGTTGTACAAGGGTTTTTCCCAATTCTCGAACCATGTCAGAGTAAATCCGTGCTATAAAAGTACCGTGTTATACGGGGATTACCTGTATCTTAAAATACAAAATAAATCAAGATATTTTAAAATGTTTTTAATTATGCTTTCTTGCTTTTATCAATCGAAAATACTTTGTTCATTATGTTGTTTTCTGCAATATTGTTGCTTCAATATAAAACTATTAAAGTTTTCAATATACATTAAGATTAAGTTAATATTTTGTAATTTTATATACAGTAGTGGCCATGGAAAATACATCATCTATGCACGCCTTGCATGAAAGAAAATCAAACAGAAAGCCAAAAAATTTAATTCTCTGATTTAGAGTTAAATTTTTTGGCTTTTTGAAATCAAATATCTTAATATTTTCATATTAGAATGAACATAAATTATAATTTTTACATGCTTTCTCATCTTTTATATGATAAAAACTAAGAAATAATTAGAATAGAAATTCTTATTATTTGTTAATGCTTTCTCTATAAAGGTAGAAATTGATCAATTATTTTAGAGTAAATATCAAATTTTGTGTTAATTTCAAAACAAAAATTGTAATAAAAGTTAAGTACATCTATCCTCTTTTATCATGGCCTTGTTTATTGCTGATCTGTGTTATCACAGGTCGGCAAACAGCTGTGATATAACAGATGACCCACAAGAGACAGCAGCACAGCGAACACCCATCATGCTCAGCTTCCAAGAATGCACTAGCTATCACTGTGCTGCAAGGCTATTTTTTTACAAAGTAGTGAAACATACTGTATTTTCAGACCCTTCAACATGACACCAGTGAACAAGAAAAATATGAAGGTGCCTGACCTAACAAATGCCATAGATGAGTGTAGTCTCAACAAGAAAAGGTAGATATAATAAAGAAAATACGTGATGGTGGAAACTTTGGTTCTGTGGGCAAATGAATCAACCATTCATTCTATTTACAAAGTGCACGAAAAAGTAATGACAGCTTTCACTGAAGATTCACCAGATCAGTTAGTGATATTACCAGGTTACATAGAGAAATTCATTCAACCCATGAAAAAGGGTGTGTATTTGTGGATGCAAGACTATTACAGAAAGAAGTTTCCTTTCAACAAAATGTTTCCAAAGATGTGCTAAGGCAATATGTAAGAGTTTGGTTGAGCACAATGATGTTGATAATAAAGACAAATATGTTTTTCAAGATAGCAATGGATGGGTTCAGAAATTTATTGCAAGATATACTTTAGGAAGCAAAGTTGTTTCAGGTGAAGCAGCCTCATTTGACACAGAGGCTGTTAATCTTTACCCAGATGAATTTCTTAAAGTAGTGCATGAGGGTGGATATTTACCATACTAAGTTTTTTAATGCAAATGAGACAGCCCTTTATTGGAAATGTATGCCTGACAAAAGTTATGTAGCTAAAGAGGAGTCCAGATGCCAGGCTTCAAAATGGCTAAAGACTGGGAGTCTACTGTTCTGTTCTGTGGTAATAGTGCTGAGGATTTCAAAGCTAAATTGCTTATACACCCCTCTGCCCAACCTCGTGCCTTCAAAATCATAAGCATGTTAACTCTTCTTGTGCATTGGCATGCTAACAAAAATGGACGGATAACAAAAGTGATCTTCAAAGAGTGGTTTTATGACCTACTTCCATGCTGAGGTAAAAGAATACTGTGATAAAAAGAATATTGCTTTTGAAGTAATTCTTCTCCTAGTTAACTGTTCTAGCCACCCTACCAACTTAAATGATCTCCAGAATGAGATCAAAGTTATTTATCTACTGCCTAACTCAACCTCACTTTTGCAGCCAATGGACCAGGAAGTAATGGACACATTTAAGTTTCGACCTTACCTTTGAGGCAATACATAAGGTAAGGCAAGGCACTGTCACACACAATGAGGAACTAACAGTGCAGCAATATTGAAAAAAATTTAACATTCTTGATGTTGTATCCTTCATTGACACAGCCTAGAAACCTATAACTAAAGCTTGCCTTCTGAATGGATGGCACAAGTTATTTCCTGACACAGCTCCAGACTGGTGGGTTTGAAGATGATCATATGACTTGACTCCTGAACAGGGCAAGGACATTACCTGGGGATTAAATTCTACTGTAAATGTTATCCAACCATAAAGCAATATCATTACATGTGTTTAGAAACTATTTGGTGGTAATATTTGGTTAAGTTGGAAAGCAGCTTCAGGTCTTGGGATGAAACCCATTTTTCCCATAATTTCTATTATTCATTTATCACTGTTTTGCTTATCATGCTGATTTTTGGAACCAAATCCCTGTGATAAACGAAAATAGATGTAAAACATTAATATAATCATATTATTTTATACTTTTGTTATTTTATTTCCATAGAAATCAAATAATAAAGATATAAAAATTAGCACAGAATAAAAGCATTTAAATCATTTGTTAGCCTGAGAATGGTTGTTTAAAATAACCAAAAATGTTTGCTTAATTGCATTAAAGTGTTTATTTGCTGATTGAAAAAGTTATGGTTGCTATTTTGACTGTTATAAAAATAATATGTAATAAATACTTATCACAATCTCCAAATATACAAAACTTTAGTTTAAAATACGAAATACAAGATACTTGCTTTTCTCAAACAATTTACTTTTAAAAACTTAATCTTTCAACACTATTATTTAAATATTCAAGCTCAAACCTTTTAATTAGCTATATATAGACTAATACATATAATTAAAAGATTGTAAACTTAAATATGAAAATTCATTTTTATAAATTAAAACAAACAAAGTGTAAAAAAGTATCATAAAAAAAGAATTTTATTTATATGGTAAAACAAGATACAGGTTGATAATCACAGTAAAGTCTGAAATTTTTTTTATGATTTATGAGGAATGTGAAATGGCTCTGATAAATTAAAACTACATATATACTTTTTACTATAGTTTTAGATGTTGTTCATTTAGTTACAATTACTGTATATGTTAAGTTTCAAATATTAAAAGAAAATTAGTACCCTGCTTCCATCAGCAGTTTCTGATCTTGGAGAAAGAGCCAAAGCTTGAAGACAGGAAGTCCATGTATTTGGATCCTTTACAAAAGAATAAAAAATATTTATACATATTTAGTATTATAAAAATTTGTTATCATAATTTTAGAATTTTATTATTATTGTCTAAATTAAAAGCTAAGGAAATTATTTTGTTAATTTAAATTAGTTAAAAATAATCACAATTCCTTTTAGTACAAATAAGGAAGATAACTACTTAAAATACCAGATTCAATTTAATAAAAAAGGATGTTAGCAATATAACCACAAGGATTAGTATTATAAGCATGAGCTTTGCAAAAGCAAAAACATAAAAATCTGCAAATAATTCTATCAGTTCTCATATTAAATTGTTTTTATAATAAAATTTGTAACATTAATTTTCATAGAAATATTTAAAAATTTCAAATATTTTTGTTTAAATATCTAAAATGTAGGAAAGATTATCATATAATTATATTATGGCATCCATTTTTATTAAAATNCCTTAAAATTGATTGAAAGGCTAAATCAAAGGACAAAAAAACAACTCTCAAAGGCATGGCAGGCTATGTATGATCTGACATTATAACAGCCAACACAGGTGCACATTTTTAGAAATTTAAAATTTTAAAAGGTAAATTTGAAAATAAAAGCATTCAAAATTAGAATGCATCGGAGGCTAAATCAAAGTCTGATCACACCAGAAAAAGTTTTTTCTAAAACTCCATCTGAAGATCCTAGAGTGGACCAAAAATGTTTGTGTTATATTCCAAAAATAACTGCAAAGCATTATAAGGTTAGTGGAATATATTTATATTAATGCTTTGTTTATTGGATGGATTTTATATTAATATCTTCATATAATTGTTTATATTCCAAAATAAAAATAGTTTTTCTTTTAGTATTTTCAATATATTATGATGATCTATTTGGTTTAATTAAATGAGATGAAATACATCTTGACATTATTAATCTAATTGCAAATATTTCATAAAAATATTTAAAAATTTCAAATATTTTTGTTTAAATATCTAAAATGTAGGAAAGATTATCATATAATTATATTATGGCATCCATTTTTATTAAAATTACGAATAATAAATTAACTTTACTGAAATTTATTTATTTCATACAGTTTGTAATTAAAGTAAACATTTTAGTTTAGCAATCACTAATTATAAAAATTTTGCTAAATTAAAATATACAAATAAAACTGATGTTATATCAGATATGATATTATATTAATGTTTGTATTTGGTTCCTTTGAGAACATTTATAGATTTTATACCATTAATAAATATACTCTGTAGCAAAAAAAACTGACATAGCTTAAAGGTAAGCCATGTGCAATATTAATCAAATTATGCATATGGAATGTCAGTAAAAAATAAACTTCATTACATCACAGCACAAGAATACATCATTGAAGAGCACTTTCATTACAAATGTTACAAATCAGAAAATGGAAAATCAGTCTGGCAATTAATGCAAACTGACCAATGTGAGATGGCTTTACAACTTACTAATTTGCAATATTTGTGATGAAACTTTTCTTTAATAATATATATCCCTGTGTTGTGATGTAATAAGGATTTTGTCTTTTCACCACCATTCCACAAGAAGAATTTGATTAATATTGCATGCCGGCCTTAACATTCATTGATTTTTTGCAATAGTGTATTTTGAATTCAAATTCTTTAAAATTATTTTGAATTAAATTTATTATCTATGCAATTTATATGACATTAATATATAAAAATAAACAATCATTATACTGCACTAACCTTATAATGCTTTGCAGTTATTTTTAGAACATAATACAAACATTTTCAGTCCACCCTAGGACCTTCTTCAGGTGGAATTCTAAAAAAAATTTCTTCTAGTGTGATCAGACTTTGATTTAGTCTCCGATGCATTCTAATTTTGAATGCTTTTATTTTCAAATTTACCTTTTAAAATTTTAAATTTCTAAAAATGTGCACCTGTGTTGGCTGTTATAATGTCAGATCATACATAGCCTGCCATGCCTTTGAGAGTTGTTTTTTGTCCTTAAAATTGATTGAAAGGCTAAATCAAAGGACAAAAAAACAACTCTCAAAGGCATGGCAGGCTATGTATGATCTGACATTATAACAGCCAACACAGGTGCACATTTTTAGAAATTTAAAATTTTAAAAGGTAAATTTGAAAATAAAAGCATTCAAAATTAGAATGCATCGGAGACTAAATCAAAGTCTGATCACACTAGAAGAAATTTTTTTTAGAATTCCACCTGAAGAAGGTCCTAGGGTGGACTGAAAATGTTTGTATTATGTTCTAAAAATAACTGCAAAGCATTATAAGGTTAGTGCAGTATAATGATTGTTTATTTTTATATATTAATGTCATATAAATTGCATAGATAATAAATTTAATTCAAAATAATTTTAAAGAATTTGAATTCAAATACACTATTGCAAAAAATCAATGAATGTTAAGGCCGGCATGCAATATTAATCAAATTCTTCTTGTGGAATGGTGGTGAAAAGACAAAATCCTTATTACATCACAACACAGGGATATATATTATTAAAGAAAAGTTTCATCACAAATATTGCAAATTAGTAAGTTGTAAAGCCATCTCACATTGGTCAGTTTGCATTAATTGCCAGACTGATTTTCCATTTTCTGATTTGTAACATTTGTAATGAAAGTGCTCTTCAATGATGTATTCTTGTGCTGTGATGTAATGAAGTTTATTTTTTACTGACATTCCATATGCATAATTTGATTAATATTGCACATGGCTTACCTTTAAGCTATGTCAGTTTTTTTTGCTACAGAGTATATTTATTAATGGTATAAAATCTATAAATGTTCTCAAAGGAACCAAATACAAACATTAATATAATATCATATCTGATATAACATCAGTTTTATTTGTATATTTTAATTTAGCAAAATTTTTATAATTAGTGATTGCTAAACTAAAATGTTTACTTTAATTACAAACTGTATGAAATAAATAAATTTCAGTAAAGTTAATTTATTATTCGTAATTTTAATAAAAATGGATGCCATAATATAATTATATGATAATCTTTCCTACATTTTAGATATTTAAACAAAAATATTTGAAATTTTTAAATATTTCTATGAAAATTAATGTTACAAATTTTATTATAAAAACAATTTAATATGAGAACTGATAGAATTATTTGCAGATTTTTATGTTTTTGCTTTTGCAAAGCTCATGCTTATAATACTAATCCTTGTGGTTATATTGCTAACATCCTTTTTTATTAAATTGAATCTGGTATTTTAAGTAGTTATCTTCCTTATTTGTACTAAAAGGAATTGTGATTATTTTTAACTAATTTAAATTAACAAAATAATTTCCTTAGCTTTTAATTTAGACAATAATAATAAAATTCTAAAATTATGATAACAAATTTTTATAATACTAAATATGTATAAATATTTTTTATTCTTTTGTAAAGGATCCAAATACATGGACTTCCTGTCTTCAAGCTTTGGCTCTTTCTCCAAGATCAGAAACTGCTGATGGAAGCAGGGTACTAATTTTCTTTTAATATTTGAAACTTAACATATACAGTAATTGTAACTAAATGAACAACATCTAAAACTATAGTAAAAAGTATATATGTAGTTTTAATTTATCAGAGCCATTTCACATTCCTCATAAATCATAAAAAAAATTTCAGACTTTACTGTGATTATCAACCTGTATCTTGTTTTACCATATAAATAAAATTCTTTTTTTATGATACTTTTTTACACTTTGTTTGTTTTAATTTATAAAAATGAATTTTCATATTTAAGTTTACAATCTTTTAATTATATGTATTAGTCTATATATAGCTAATTAAAAGGTTTGAGCTTGAATATTTAAATAATAGTGTTGAAAGATTAAGTTTTTAAAAGTAAATTGTTTGAGAAAAGCAAGTATCTTGTATTTCGTATTTTAAACTAAAGTTTTGTATATTTGGAGATTGTGATAAGTATTTATTACATATTATTTTTATAACAGTCAAAATAGCAACCATAACTTTTTCAATCAGCAAATAAACACTTTAATGCAATTAAGCAAACATTTTTGGTTATTTTAAACAACCATTCTCAGGCTAACAAATGATTTAAATGCTTTTATTCTGTGCTAATTTTTATATCTTTATTATTTGATTTCTATGGAAATAAAATAACAAAAGTATAAAATAATATGATTATATTAATGTTTTACATCTATTTTCGTTTATCACAGGGATTTGGTTCCAAAAATCAGCATGATAAGCAAAACAGTGATAAATGAATAATAGAAATTATGGGAAAAATGGGTTTCATCCCAAGACCTGAAGCTGCTTTCCAACTTAACCAAATATTACCACCAAATAGTTTCTAAACACATGTAATGATATTGCTTTATGGTTGGATAACATTTACAGTAGAATTTAATCCCCAGGTAATGTCCTTGCCCTGTTCAGGAGTCAAGTCATATGATCATCTTCAAACCCACCAGTCTGGAGCTGTGTCAGGAAATAACTTGTGCCATCCATTCAGAAGGCAAGCTTTAGTTATAGCTTTCTAGGCTGTGTCAATGAAGGATACAACATCAAGAATGTTAAATTTTTTTCAATATTGCTGCACTGTTAGTTCCTCATTGTGTNCATTAACTGAAAAAATATACAGCTACAATTAGTAAATTTAATGTATCTGTATGTACAAATTTGTACATCTCCTCATGGTCAGTTACTCTGCAACATGATTACTGTTTTCACCTATGATAACCTATGATAAACGAGCAATGCTTTATATGATCAATTGACAAAACTTTTTACATAGAACATCATAAAATCTTATTGTATAGTAGATTTTAAAATCAAAATTACATACGAGTTGTCAGAACACATCTTAAACTTTAAACAGTGTCCAATCAAAAAGTTCCATTTTATAATATGTGACTTTTTGCTTTATAATTGTGTAAGTCATTGATAAGTCCAACTGTAGAATATTCATTTTCACCTAAGCCAATCTTCATATCAAATTCTGTAATCATCATCTTA